CAGCCTGAAATTCACTATGGTTAGTCCCTTAGGATGACACAAATTAGCTAGCTCTGTGCCTCCTCCCCTAGACAGAGGACATAAGAGTACTTCATTCACAGCATGAGGATGTTTGGGTCAATGACGGACCACATACACAATGGTGGTTCCATTAGATTCTATCACTCAGTGCCGTCTAGCCGTCTTAGTTTGCATAGGCCACACCCCGTGATGTTCACACAATGACAAAATGGGCTGACATCACATTTCTCGGAAAGTGTCCTCATCACTAAGAGACGTGTGTCTTAACTTCTATGACAATTAAATGAGCAGATCAATATAAACACATGTGGAACAGTGTTTGGAATTCAGCACTCCATGCATCTTTGTTGAGATTATTTTTATTCATTATTCCAGGTACTCAGTACACATGAATAGCCAAGAAAGGGGGAAAAAAAAAAAGGGACATGCATGGTAGCTCAGAGGGAGCACTAAGGTTGGCTTACGTACCATGTGCAGAAAAAGCACACTGTGAAATATCACTCTGTTGAAAGACAAAGTTTGTCCTCACCTCCCACAGTTCATGCCTCAGTTCCGACTTGCTTGTAACTGGAATCAACTGCTCCTTTTTGCCTCCCCTGAGAGATGCTGGAAGCCACACGATGAAAGGGCTCTGTGCTTGGTGCCAGGAGGCTTCTATTTGAGTCCCTTTCCTGCCAGCTTCTCCAACTCTGCCCCTCCCAGGGTCTTGGTGGTCTCCTGTGCAAAGGGACAATGGGTGGCTGTGGCCACAATGATACTTAAACACTTACACACTGCAATTCACCTTCCGAATCTCTCAGTAATGTTTCCTAATTAATCACCTTGTGTACTGCATTCTAAATTAATTGAATTAAAAGTAATTAAATCCAGGAAATTGAAATTAGTCTAATTAGATTACAGGCACATTCAGAGACCGTGGTGAGGGGTGCCATGTAAATTGGCCAATTTCAGTGGAGAAGAGATAAACTTAGATTATAGACAGGATGTTAAGAGGGGGAGACAGCCGTACAAAGAATAAGTCAAGGTGGGAGCGGTGAGGTCATTGAGGAAATGATAATCACCACTTTTATCAGGGCTTGTTTGTGCCAACTCAACTATTTGTCCCCACAAAACCACTCAGAACCGAGTGCTGCTGTTATCCCTGCTTGACAGATGGGAAAACAGAGACTGTGATACGTGGAGAACTGTGGTAGAAATTCACACAGCTGGACCCCAGAGGCTGCCCCCAGCCCTCCCCAGCCAACCTCCCAGAGCTTTATGTAAGATTGACTGCATGCACTGGGCAGAGGAAGAGTCGGGTGGTGACTGCCCCATGCCACCCAGTTCAGGCTGACACAACTTGAGGCTGGGTCCTCTGTTTTTATCTTCCTGGGATGCCCACAATAGATAATGTCCACATACACAGTACATTCAGGGTGGCCCAAGCCAGACACAGCCTGGACCTGTGAGGTATTTGAGATATCATCCTACTTCAAACTAACAATGAGCTTGCTGTAGTTGCATAGAAGCTGGCGCAAGATATAAGGCTCCCGGGTCAGAACAAAGGTGTTCATCTGGCAGAAGAGACAAGGCTCCCGGGTCAGAGGCAAAGGAGTTCATTGCTCATAGAAGTAGCAGGGCCAGAGTAGCAGCATTTTCTTGTATTGGTTCCCTAAGCCCCAAATTTCATAAGACAACACAATCAGGGCCAGATGACACCTGCACAGTGGGTTGCATCACAGGAGAGAGACCCCCCCACGAAGGGAAGGTAAATCTTTTCAAATGAGCCTGCCTGCCCTTGGCTCTGATGGGAGACACTATCTGCCAAGGTTGTTTGTAATACAACATCCTTGAAAAGATCATCTGGAACAAAGGCTGTCCATGCCTCTGCTCCAAAAACATGCAGAAATGTAAAAGACCCATGCAGAATTGTCTCCCAACAATATCCACTCCTCGTTTTTACAGTCTTAGCTTCTGGCAAATTTTCCCTTTGAGTAATTCTACTTGCTAAGCCACTCTAATTTGACCAAAAGAGGGTGGGACCAAATCTGTTCAGTTATTCTCCTCCAGCATTTAATTCAGGCCGCGGCCAACAGGACTCTAGCCACACCCTCAGAGCGTCAGAGGCCCAGTCATCTAAATGGAAGGCACATGCACTCAGGGTCTATCTTAAAGGAACAAAGTAGAGTCCTCCTTCTGTCACTGGACTCACTTTTCCACTTGGACCCAGGCAGGGATCCAAGCAGAGAAGTAGGGATTGCACAGGCTCCACGTTGGCCTGCAAGGAAAAAGACTCGGGACATTCCATCAACTGTGACAGTACTGACCAGTGAGTCCAGGCTGACATGACTGCCTTCTAGGACCTAGGGCCAAATGGGGACAAATTCAAAGTCCCCTTTCTTGTAGGAGGACTCCCATGATAGAGAAAACGGTCCACAGGGTACACAGGAATAGTGGCCCCTGTGGGAAGCTCCCGGGGGAACCATGGTCACCTTCCAGGACTGCTTGCTTAAGCACTGGCAGGTCTCTTGGGACGACTTCTAAGGATCAGGCCAGGAGACAAGTTAATGTCTGGCTTCCACAGAAGAAGTGGAGTCTCAGGGGTACACATGGTGACCCTAAAAAGAAGGTTATTATTTAGAATTGTTGGGGACCCCCCAGTGGGACCCACATCAGTGGGGGGCATAGGTTGGCCTTCTTCAGTGGAGCCTCTCAGGGGTGGCAGGATGAGCTGTCAGAGCTTCAGCTGGCACAGCATGGAGTGCAGCCCTGGTTTCTGGAGCTTGCCCCAGGGCGTCCATCCAACCAGTTCTGACAGTCCACACCCCTCGTCAGGTGACACCCACCTCAAGGAGTGATTGGGTAAAGGCACTAAGAATAGGGGTGGGGCAGATGTCCAGACACCTGTAAACATGAGCCTTGCTTGGGAAGTGCAGGACAAGGGACAAGGGAAATGGGGACCAAATCACCATCAGAGCCAGCTGCAGGGGACGGATAGGCCCAGCAGCCAGTGAATGGAAGGCACTCAGGGTGGAATCTGAATACTGAGTGAAACGTGGTCAAAGGCCAGGAAGGAAGGAAGGAAGAGGTGGAAACAGAAAGGAGTGACCCAGCTGTGGCATAAAGATCTGCCACAAGCTAATCTCCCTCACGCCCATCTAAAATATCTGCATTCAGTTACTTCCCAGCTTTTCCCAAAACAGTAGGCGCCAACTTACTTCCTGAACCCAAGGGTAATCTCAACAGCATGAGGACAAGTCTTGCCTAGAGATGAAACTCTGCACCTCTGTCGAGAGAGGAACCACTGGGGATTTTGAAATGACACTTTTTCCATCTTCTGCCCATCACGGGATCAAGTCCCTCCCTGTCCCTTCTCTGGGGCAGGGGACATCCCGACAGCATTCAAAACAGCAGGGGACAGATAGGCCCAGCAGCCAGTGAATGGAAGGCACTCAGGGTAGAATTTGAATACTGAGTGAAGCATAGTCTACAAAGGTCCGGAATAGCACAGGCCAGCTTCCCAAATAGCTGGTTGACGTTTGATGCGGAGGTACATATGAGACTTTCTAGAGACAGGTGTGCACTCACTTTCAAGGAAGCCGCCATGATGTTAATTTTTACAACTGAGTTGTTGACCAAAAGAGGGCAGCCGAAATAAGCGAGGCTTTCCTCCTGGGCCATGACCTGAGCTGCTCAAGTTGCAAATAAACAGCAGCGTCACAGGGAATCTTGCTGAATGTGTCAACATTTGCTGCTCCTGTTGCCCTACGTGGACAAAGAGAACCTATCTCCCCTGCCTCGTGTCCCCCTACATGCTGAGCACGGTGCAGGACCACTGGTGGTTAGGGCAAGGGGGCCTCAGTTTGTAACAAAGCCCGCAGAGTTGGCTCTTTGAGGATGCCAAAGAGCCATTCCCGGGAGCAGGATGGAGCAGATGGGGGAAACAGCACCACCCATAGTGTGCCCCATCTCCATTAGCTCCTCACCAACAATTAGCCTGACCTTTTCCTGGGAAATTATACTGACTGCAACTTCCACTGCTGCTCAGCCTAATTTGCCTCACTGCTGGGGGGAAAACAAGTCCTGAAGAGGAATAAAAGCAGCTGCTTTCTTTCGACCATCAAAGGCAGAACTGAATGCTGCGTGGTGATTTTCAAGGCAATTCAAAATTAACTTCAAATTAGCAAGTGCTGACTCTCTCTCTGCCTCGCTCTCATGTTCTCTCTGTGCCTTTCGCCTGACTTTGTTCACAAAGCAGAACGGTTCTCAGCCTCCCCATGCTCCACTTTGAAGCCAGCCCATGTTTTTCCACTTCACCCCGGCATCCCTCTGGGCAGTGGCTCCCGCCTCCTCCAGAGGCATCAATGAGAAGGTCACACACCAACTGTGTGCTTTTTCCAAGAAGCAGTTCCAAGGTGCCAACGTGTTTCCCAGCCAAGGGACACCGGCTCTGGTGTGTGTTTTGCTGGAGATAATCACACATCAGCCAGGTAGGGCACTGACGGGGCACAGCAAGGCATTCCTGCGTGCTCCCCAGCTGGGGAGGGAAATGGTGGGGAGACAAGAAGGACAGAGAAACAGAGGCTGCTGAAGACATGGATGAGATGGCCCATTATTCCGCTGCTGCTCGTTTAAAGCCTGCAGTTTCGCTGGAATCCATTTCAAGTCCGTCACTGCAGGAAGACTGTTCTCACCTCCGGGGCTCCATGGAGCCCACTGCTCCCTGTCTGGGAATTCTGCCCTCAACGCCCATCCAGGCCCTTGGTTTAAGGCATCCCAGGCCTGCTGTCTCTTTGTAAGAAGCTCAAATAAGCCCCCCTAGCACAGAAACTAAGGCAGCATGGGATCCCCATGGGCGTGGTCCCCAGGCCCCCTTTCCTCTGCACTATCTCCCTTCCTAGATGTCCGTCCCTGACAAAAGGGACCTTACCACATCCCACTGGCTCCAAAGCCTCGTCCAAGTCCTTCTGGCCACAGCCAGAACCCAATAAGTACTTGTAAATTGGATGATGGTTTCCTTCAAACAGTGTTGGAACTTGTTTTTCTCTTTTAATGACCCAAGAAAACACACATGTTAAGAATATTTCCAACCTCATCTTTGTTTCTGCTCGCCCCAGGCCGGTAGACCCGTAACCAAATTTCCCTCATTGTTCCACCAAGGGCTGGGCAGTTTCCGGTGCAATTATAGATTCGGTGGTGAAGGGCTTTTCTTTTCCACTAGGTGACTGTGTCACTGGCAGGAGCAAAGCTGAGTTATGCCTCCTGATTCCTCTATGCAGTGTCCACTTGGGATGTGCCATAGCCATCTCCAGACGACCCTGGAATCCTGAAAATAGACCAAAGGACATAGCCTGCTGTCAGACTGTGATGCGCAGAGGGAGGTTTAGCCCCAGGCTGCAAGAGGGAGCCTGGCCCTTGACACCAGGTTGGACCAGGGTCTCCATAAGAGTTGAACTAGAATAGTCAGGGGAGGCCTGACTAGGAAAGTGATGGGAGAGCTGAGGCTTGAATGGCAAGGAGGGCCCAGCAGGCTCTGTGGAAGGTCATTCCAGGCAGAGGGAAGAGCTACAGCAAGGGTTCTGGGGCGAGGATGAGCCTGACATGTTCAAGGCCTCGAGAGAGAGCTGGTATGGCAAGTCAGGAAAAATATGGAGATTGAGATGGAGCCAACAAAATCATTCATGGTAATAAGGTAGGCATTTGTGTTAAGTACAGCAGAAGTGATTCAAGAGCTTTGCTCAGAAGAATGATATTTGAGGCCGTTCTAGCTGTGGTGTGAACAGTAATGGATGGCAGGACATTCAGGTCAGAGAGAGTCAGGGAGCCGTGACAGGTGGCCAGGGAAGACTGATGAGCTGCTGGACGAACGTGATAGGGGTGGAGTGGAGTCCACAGATTCAGGGTATATTTTGGTGGGAGAGCCAATAAATCCCACTGATGCATCGTAATTTAGTAAGGGGAGAAAAGGGAAGGATCGAGAATGACACCAACGATTTTGTCTAGAACCGTGGGGTTGGATGTGGGTGCCATTCACTGTGGTGGGAAGGCGTGGGAGGACCGGGGTTCCGCACAAAGCCTCCAGCTCGGTGTAGGTGATCAATGGGTGGCAACCATGGTGGCCCTTCTTATTATTATCATTCCTGAAGTGGACGCTGTGGTTTGCTGCCAAGGTCTCCTCCTCAGAGCCAACGCACCAACCTCCAGCTGATTGGAGGAAGAAGACTCTGCTTCTCTCACTAGAAACCGCCTTAGGCTGCAGCAAACAGCCCATTCCAAGGTTGCACTCCTCCTGAGGAGGCCACGGCCGATGAATGGCCAACCTTCCTACCTCATCTGGAGACGCTCTGAAGGGCCCTCCTAGCTCCGGAGCTCCCAGAGCACCAGCCTGAGCCTTGGCTGTTGCCTTGTCCCTCGGGTGGACCTGCCTCCTGCCCTCCCACAGGTGTGTCTCCCGTGAGTACCCCAGCTTCTCACACCCCCACCCCATCTAGGTCTGATTCCAGAGAGCCTAACCTATCACAGTGATCACCATCCTCAGGGACAGATCATGTCTAGAATCTCATCCCATCCGAAAGTTGATTCTCAAGAATTTGGAAAGTGCCTCCCAAACTTCTCTAGCATCCCGCTCCTGGAATTGCCTAACTCCCCACACTCTACCCCGCTCGGCACAGACTCCTTGGAAATGGCCTCCCGGCCTGGGTTCGCTGGAAGTGACGTCTCTGTTTTCTAGGAATCTGTCTGCCGAAACACTTCTCTACAGCACCTGGATTTGTGTCTAATACTTAGGTCCATATAGCACAGAATGCACTGTCTGTAGCTGGGCAGATGCAGGGACACTACACAGGGGGTGGGGGATGAGCGTGTGGGCTGTCCCCTGTACGCATGCATCTGGTCAAGAGGACATTC